CCCCCGGCCCCTCCCAGCCCCCACGGGCACTCACTATGGGCAGGAGCTGCGGGTAGAAGAAGAGCTGCGAGTCGGCCACGCCCATGGTCATGACCAGCTGCCGCTGGAAGGCCCGCTCGTCCGTGGGGATGTCGGGTCGGCTGAGCAGCACGCAGCTCTTCAGCAGGGAGTTCATGTACACGGGCAGCACCTTCATGGAGTCCGGCAAGATGAGCTGCAAGAGAGACGCTGCTCCGTTCACACCGCCCACCCTTCTCTCAGCCCCATTCACACCGTCCACCTTCTCCCAGCTCCGTTCACACCACCCACCCTTCTCCTTCCCAGCTCCGTTCACACCACCCACCCTTCTCCCAGCCCCGTTCACACCGCCCACCCTTCTCCCAGCCCCATTCACACCGCCCACCCTTCTCCCAGCCCCGTTCACGCCACACACCCTTCTCCCAGCTCTGTTCACACCGCCCACCTTCTCCCATCTCTGTTCACACTGCCCACCCTTCTCCCGGCCCCATTCACACCGTCCCTCTCCCAGCCCCGTTCACACCGCCTCTCAGTCCCGTTCACACCGCCCAGCCTTCTCCCAGCCCCGTTCACACCGCCCACCCTTCTCCCAGCTCCGTTCACACACAGCAGCAAGGAGCCGGCCAGGGCCTCCCCCACCACCCCGCCCCCGCACAGCCACGGGCGAGGAAGCCCTGAGACAGACAGCGTGCCAAGGGCGATGCCATCTGCAAGCAAGTGTCTAGCTGTGAATTCCTGGTGTCTTCCCTTTCCAGCTCAACAGTGAGAAAGAATATCCACCAGCGAACTCCACGCGGGGAGCGGGCCCTCAGGGCCTGCTGGGTGGCCCTCCTTGTCCCCATCCCCCCTTCCCTCCCCGTCTCACATCCTGACCCAGCGACAGGGAAGGCGGGGACCCTTCCACCGGCTTCAGAGCAGCTGGGCGGCAGGGCTTCCCTCGTTCTCCCCTCAGAGCACCAGGCAGGCCAGGCACAGCGTTTCTCCGCTGTGAGATGTAACGGAACGAGTCTGCCTGCGAGGGGAGCTCAGGAAGTCCTTTCCGTGTCGTCTGTACTTACACGTCTGAACCGAGCCTGGGCCACACGACCCCAGGGGCACCTCCTTCCATTCCACACCCTACGCACCTCTGTGGCCTCAGCCTCGGCCTGGCCCTGCAAGTCAGTGAAAGCAGTGCCCGGGCCCAGTGCCACCCGTAAGGCTGGCTGTGTCGGGAGCAGGAACCCTTAAACCGCAGGATCAGGTGCTGGTGCTGTTACATGTGGGTGGGGTTTCAGGTCCGCCCTCAGCACCCACTTTTGACAAAGAACAACCCAGAGAGGTTCCCATCTGCTGCTCAGTCGCCTTCAGCCCTCGTTCCAGGCTCAGAACTGTGGGTGCGGCTTGAGGAACGCCCGGGTGTGACTGGCGGGAGGGAGTGGGGAGGAGAGGCGCGGGCGTGGGGGCGGGAGGTTCTGCCTGGGGTCGGGGGGGAGTGGAGACGCGGGTTTTAAGGAAGCGTCTGAAACTCCCACGTGCTGTGTGCCGGCCAGCACATGCTTCACAGCCTCCCTGCCATTAGTTGCTGAGACCTGAGGAGCTCCGACATTGATCCATCGCACCCACGTCATAGAGACAAAGGGCTCACCCCGCCTTCGCTGGTGTCAGCTCGTTCGTTCACCTCAAAGTGCAGAGGCGCACAGTTCCCAGCACCGCGCCCTCGCAGGACAGGGAGCCGCGTGCCGCGTGCCCCGTGCGGAGCTCACAGGTCTCCTCGCTCGCACGCACAGGTGCTGCCCACCTGACGACACACGCTCTCCGGC